CTCTGGCCTTTTCCTAAAGGCTATGCCCAATCTAAGTGACATCTCATGCTTTCAACAAGGTCAAAAGGAGTTAATAAGGATCTCCCCAAAGCCCTTTTTTGACTTCTATTCCAAAGATTCCAGCAAAGCCACCTTCCCTCTCAGTGTGCTGGGACAGGGGAAGGACTCTGTGCCTTCAGTATTGGAGCTTCAGTTTGATCAAAGTCATGCCTCACCTTAGCTGTAAATACTGATAATACCCCTGCTCTGCACAGACACAATTCTCTTGTTTGCCCAAGATGTTTTGCTCAAAGCACTTCCTCCTGCTTATCAGAGGCAAAATTACAGGACTGGCCTTCTCAAGGAACAGTATTTGTCCTCTGTTTCATACCTTAGCAGTAAGTACATAAACTCCAAAGCCTTCCATTTAGGCAGAGAGTGAGAGGTTTGTGAAACCACCCCCAGGAACGGAGAAGGCCCCTACAGTCCCCCATCTGTAAAACAGAGATGGAATTAATTATGAACCTGGGTGTTTGCAGTGCAGAATGTTCAAGTAGTGCTTTCAGCATGTCTGTGCTAAACAGGAGTTTGTTGTCGCTGTTGTTACATAGTTTTTATCTCATCCTCAATTATTCTTAGCTTGTCTTATTCAAGGAGACAAGGTGGAGTCTGACAGCCCCAGGTCCTCTTGAAGTGTGCTGGCTTCTCCAGCTGGGCTTGTCAGCCAGCCAGCCACAGTTCTGCTCAGAGGCTCTGGATTTCTGAGGCAATGAGGGGAAAAAGCTGACGGTAAAAGCAGCCATACGTGTGCATTGCTACAGCTTCCGTAGCTGCCTCAAGGGAATACAGATTAAGAAGGAAACACTTTAATTTGGCCTGGATTTATATGCAGGCTGGAGTAAGATTTTTTTAAGCAATGTTTTGTCCCAGCTGTAGTTTAGGTGATGCTCAGATAGATCCCTGCTCATTGTCTTTAATTGCATCCAGCTTCCAGCCACTTTTCCTGACCTCTGTGGCAGGTTCTCTCCAGTCCTGCCACATCTCTTGTAGCTTTCCCTTCTGCAGTTCAAATGCTGAGTTTCCTTCATTGCCTGAAACTCTCTGCACATGACTTGCCCACCTTAGATCAGTATATATTTTTTAGAAAGTCTTTGTAATAGGACAATGAGAGATTTAAGAGCCCTATTAGGTCCTAATGGAAGTCGGTGAGGAAATATTGCTGCTCTTTGCAGCAGGAACAGGATCTTAGCTTAGGTAAAGTGCAGCAATATGCATGCCCTGCTCTGAGAAGTGCTTCTCTTGAAGGCATGAATTGTAGTGGATCACCACACTGGGACACATTTAACCTACCAGAAACACCACTGCAAGCTGATGGGGCTGATAAGCATGGGCAAGGCTCCAGTATGTCCAGTATGTCTGAATCTAGGGCTCACAGGAATTTACATAGATGGCACGGATGGCATACCAGTTTTAAGCTTTCACCTCTCATCTGTTGACCAATGAATCCCACGGAGGAAAAGAATTTTTCTCTTCTTCACTAACAGATTGATAAAAGGTTCTTGCTGCCAAATCTTTAAGAAACTCTTTAGTCTAAAGAAATCCCTGGTATTCCACATGTCTAAAAACAGGCATCTCATTTAGAGCAACAGTTTCTTTCCAGAGTTTTTGTTATTCTTTGTGCTACTTCACTAGAGCTGTGATTTGTGAAGGGCCTGGCTTGTGTATGGAAGAATGCAGCAGATTCAAATTGCAGAATATTAAATATAATACTTCAGTCCTGATTTGAGATAGAGATTTTGCTTGGCTGAGGACTGGTAGCTCAGAGACAAACAAGAGAAGCTGACAGATTGGTGAATATTGGGTAGGATCATTTGTCAGGAGATGTGATGAATCACTGTGGCGCAGTGTTTCATTTTCAGAAAGATCATTTTCTGAAAAAATTAAATTAAAGGCAGAAGAGACAGCTGGGGGTGTTTTGAGAGTTTTCATTTAAATCAAAGTTACAATTAGAATAAAGGCATATTGAAAAGTTCCTGTTATTCTAAAAATATTTTGAGGAAGGAAAAGAATTAAGGTTAGAAGGAAACAGGAGGACCTGGAAGAGCACTTGCCAGCTGTGCCCCACAAATTTGCCTTGGATTTTACTTACCTCTCTCTAGTCAAAGCCAGTAAGAATCGTATGTCTGGAGCTTCAAGCAGTGCTTCAGTTGGGGGAAAAACATCCATCTTACAACCTTGCACACAGATTATTTGTGCAGAGGTCAATGTGCTTTTAATAGGACTGCATGCAGAGGCTGAGCTCCTCTCAGTGAGAATGAGAGCAGCCCTCCTGTTTAATTTCGTCTGGGCTCTTAAGAAGTCCAAGGCTACGTCACCACTGATTAATTCATGCAATATTAACACATTAATAACAAATGGAAACAGGGGAGACACAGAGGGTGGGGGGCTTCCTGCTGCTGCTTCAGCTGCAGACACAAGTGCCAGGAGGCCAAGGGCTGATCCCTGTTCCCCCTTTCTCCTGGAGCCCAGTCACCACCCACAAACTCAGTCGTTCTGTACAAGGTTATTGCTAGGGTTTGATCAACACCTCTCTGCCCTAGTGTAAGCAAACAGAAGAGTGTGAATGCTTCAAGGACTAGCTCTGTCTCTCTAATAAAAAGATTTTAAATCAGTTGCTCTTCAGAGAGCAGCATATTGTTGTATGTATAGCACACTTAATTAGAAGGACAGATGGAAACTTCAGTAAAACAGAACTGTGTAAAATCCTACCTTTACCATCACTCAAATCAATAGAAAGTTCTCACTGTGTGTATATGTGTAAAACTGGTATTTCCAGATGCCTTCCCTGTCGGTGGACATGAAATAAAAAGGTGAAACAATCTGGCAGTACTGTTGCACAACATGCGTTTGCCTCCTTCAAAGTTGTAGCCTGCACAGAGATGAGACAGAGATAAGGAAATAAGACACGTGCATGGTGTGAGATTATAAAAGAACATTACATCCTCTTCCAAGCAAGATTCAAGCAGGCACTTTATTTGTAAAACAACAAATAATGGTGGGTCATACCATGTGCAGGACTTGATGTTGAGGCTTTGTGAAGTAGATGTGGGAGAGCTGGTCACGTAGTGCCTGTTTCCTTGACTAATGCTCTGCTGGTTACCCAGTTTCTGAAATATGGAAATCTGATGCCAGCTGTGTTCCCAGTATAAAGGTCTTGCACTCTTTGTGCAGGAAAAGTGGTTAATTTTATGAGGAAGCCTCAGCAAGTCACTTGCTAGTGAGGCTTCTCCAGGTAGAAGGAAGATCAGGAATGCTTGGTGACACAATCTCTTGTGACCATGTTAAAGCACACATGGACTAACAAAACTTTGCTCTTGATCTTCTGTGAATGTTAAGTTAATAAATTATCATGATGTTAGTATCCATCTCAATTAGGATGTCAAGATTGCAAAGCAAAACTTGATTAAGGAAGTGCAAACTTTGCATTTTTCATCCTTTTAACATGGCAATTACCCTTCAGATAAGAACCACTGTTCACTCCCTTGTCTCATATTAGTGCTGATATGAACCTAAGGCTGGTGTGTAGTTCGCGTACTCTACAGGGCAGATATTCTCAGGTGAGATAAATTAATATTCAAAATAAACCTTTCTCTTTCATCTTCAAGGTAACAGATAGCCTTGCTGGATTTCTGTCCCCACCTGCCCTTAGTTACCTTGTTCCTCTTCACCTCTGTCAGTTCCTGAATAGGAATTAGTTTTTCAACAATTAATTTACCTCACTGCCTCTGTAGGACATTAACTAAATTTTCAGGCCTCTCTGAGACTGGCATCACAGCCATGCCCTTCCATCCTAATTGATGGCTCTGCTGGAGATCACAGCAGGTCCAGCTGAGACACAGGGAGCTGAGGGTAAGTGCAGAGCTGAAACACAGTTCATTCTAATTCTTAAATGAATGCTAGGAATCCCCAGCACATATAAGTTTATCGTTTATTGCCTGTAATTTTCTCAACTAATTCCAAATTTAATGACAGCTTTCAGCTTTGGTGTTCTCTTCTAATTAACGTACCAGTGACTACGTATAATCTCTGTGTAAAGCCAAAAGCAGCTTACATGATAATTACAGAGGGATCACAGCACCTACTGTTTAAGGAAGGCATCCATGAGAAAGGCCTTGCATGATAGTTAAGGTGCTAAGATTAAGTTGTAATTAATCTTAACTTGTGCCGTTTCTTGTACTGCCTCAAAGCTCTTTTATTACTGGCTCAACGTGATGCTGGTAAACTTTCAGGAAGGAAACAAAAGAACTGGACAGATCAAGCACAATCTTTTGCACATACATCAGAGACTTCCTGGACATGGTGAGCTTTTGAGGTCATAGTATTTCGGTAGAGTCATACTGTTGAGTAACTTTATATTTTTCCCATAATAATTATCATGTAGTGGGTTGAAAATTCCTCTTTTACATTGTGCAAGATGCTTTGCATCCACCCTTTTTGCAGCTGCAGTCAGAAAACAATTCAGACTGTACAAATCAGAAGTGAAGCCCAAGTGTATGGCAGAAGTAGAATACCTTTGCTGCCTCTATGAACTCAAAATGAGCATTAGTTACATCATTTTAAACATGCACCATGTCTGTCTGTTTTCCAGTATTGAGGAATACACATTAATGCACTTGGTCACAACTAAATGTACTAAACTAAAAGGAAACACTGTGTGTAGGTGAATGATTTCATAAATAGGCTTGTTTGCAAAAATGAGTGGGGGAACTGCATCTAGTCTCCCTGTATTACTTTGGTAGTTATGTGAGAAGGGAAAAGATGTATTAAAGTTCTCTGTGATGGGAAACAGGAACATAAACTCAGAAGAGGAACTCCTCTTGTTATTTAAAAAATGTTGGTTAAACTTTTTATTCATTTCAGTACAGGACCATTGTCCAACAGCCCTATGCTCCATGCTCCTTGATTCTGAAATGTGGTACTCAGCAATTTTTGAGTTCTGTGTCTTTTGTTGTTGGTTTTAGATTGACAAGTATGCTCAGCGGGATCTGAAGAAAGGACTTCACTTGTATGGGACAGATGGAAATATTGGCCTCACTAATGCATGGAGCATCATTCAAACAGATGTAAGTCTGAGCTCTCCCTTTTATCTCTTCCTCTTTACCTTCTGGGTTCTGTAACAGCGTGTTCTGGGCATGAACCTAATTAAACCTCCAAATCCCAAATCACTCTCTTTCTCCCACCCAGTCAGTACACTAGCAACTAAACTCTGCTTTTTGTAACAAGCAGTAATTTTTATTTATTTCTCCTTTGACAGGAAGTATCATCTGCCTTTCAGAAGGTTATACTAAGTTGATGCTTAAATATCATGCAGTTCTGTGCTATGTGGAGTTGATCAGAAGGAGCTGGTCAGACAGGAAACAAGCAGTACCTTTTCTTTAAAGTCAAAGAGGTGGCTTATGTTAGGATGAAGGGCAATAGCATAACAGCAAAGAACCTCTTCAACCACTTTTTAATTTCTGTCCTGTCTCCTTTCACTGCTGCTATCGTTCCCACTAGTGAATCAAAACTCAAACAGACCATGGTATTTGCAACCTCCTCCTACGGTCAGTATGTTTTCCCCAGCAGAATTCAGTCATCGTCCATCACAGGTGGACTGGGAATGCTTTTTGCTGTGTTGCCACTGCTGTTCCTTTGTCCTGATTCTCTGACAGCCCTCTTGCCAGTGCTCATCTGCTAAGGACTGGTGAACATTGTAGCTGGCTTCCTTCTCTGTCCTTGTCTGAGAAAACACCATCACTGACAATTCAGGTTTATTAGCTCTGTACTTGTTTCATATTCAGTTCAGTCAGTTCTCCTGGGGGTGATCTTTGTGATTTCATGTTCTCTGCTTCTTGAATGGAATAGTGCTCCAGTTTTTCTCCTGCTTTAGGCAGAAGCACTTGCACTGCCTTGGCTTCACTTAAAAAATCTTGCATAGCCTTCTCAGTTTCTCCTCCAGAGGTGCAAGTGTGCTACAGACAGGAGGGGTTTAGTCTTGCCTGATGTCTTAAATGGATCAAAGACAGTAACCTCTCCCAGAGCTCCCAAAATCTCCTCTTATGGACAATACAAGGTAACAGGAGCAACAGGCTGCAAAGAAATTATCTGAGAAATGAAAACCTTGAGATCTTTAACAGAACAAAAGAACTGATTGGCCAAGCTCCTTGTGCATCTCTGGGTCTGCAGGACCTGTATTGAGTGCAGTAGGTTGCCTACAACACTCCTGTGTGTGAAAGAAAACAGCTCAGGTCCAGGAAACAAGCTAATTTTAGTCCTGCATCCCAACAACTGCACGTGAAAAGTTCTTTCAGTTACCTTTAAAAGGTCTCAGCATCTTGCAATAATTTCCTCTTCCAATACTTCTTCCTTTTTCCAATACATCAAATATGAAAAGACATCAGTTACCGACAAGAGAAATGTATTTGGTGGTGCTAGCTTGAGAGCAAGCCATGTGAAATACAGAAAATATTTTTAATATCATTGCTTATATCCAACAGTATTAGAAAGTTTACTCTTTTACAGTAACTTAATTATGTGTAGTAAAAATGTAGTAAAAATGGCTAATATTAAAATATTTGTAGTAAGTATTAATCTGCTTTCAGTGACACCCCAAGAAGTCTCAAAAGCATATAGCAAAGGTGCGGGGAAAGGCAGTTTTTGGAGGACCCATGGGATATAAACACCATACTTCTTCTCCCCTTTGAGTAAAAGAGATGTAAGAATATATGCAATGTCTAGTTCATATAGTCACATTTTTTCAAAATCTTCATGAGTTGATTGGATTCAGAAAAGATGTAAAAAAATAATAATAATTTTGGAAAGCGACATTATGGTGAGAAATTTTAAATACCTTATATAAACAGGAAAAGATGAAATAGTGGTGTGATTGCAGTCCTTAAAAAGAGAGCAGGAAGGAAAAAGGGTTGTGAGAGAAAAGGGCTCTGTAATTGATCCAAGAGCTAAACTCTCAAGTTAGACATATCTGGTGGTAGGATGCTGTTGTACAGCAGCACAGTAGATTCTTTTTCTCTAAAGAATAAAACCTGACTTTTTGCTTAAAGGAAATGGTCAGGTTCAGTGACCAGCTTGGGTTTGAGGCAGGACTCAATAGTCTGTGGTTTGTGTATGCTGCAGATCATGGTCATTTGTCCTTTGGTCTTGAAACCCATTATCGTTTAAAGAGTGCCTTATATGTTTCAGATGAAACTCATGTTAGCTAACTCCTGGGAGCTCAGATGACAAGAAAACGCCACCACACGGGCTGTGTGCAGCCAGGGGACATCATTCTCTCATGGCCACTGTGAAATTGCCAATTACCACGTGCCAGCTTGGCAGTACCACAGTCAAGTCAAAGTCGTTGTGCTCCCCATGCTGGGCACTGAGGAGAACAGCAAAGAGCTCCCACAGATCCATTTTTGCCACTCTGCATAATTGGTTCTCACATGTATCTTTCAAAACTACGTGGGAATAGACTATTGCAGAGGTGCAGCAAAGACAATCCCATCATGGTTAATTATGTAAAACACTTTGCAGTTGAATAGAGCTATCTAAATGCCAACTTGGGGATTTTTTGTGTAATAATCATTATCTCTTACATCCCTAATCAGTAGAGTGTAATCACTGATTGGAGGATTGGGGTGATACAGGGGATTTTCTGCAAGGGAAATCCCAGCCCAGCTTGCTGTTTGCATTCTGTCTCCTAAGGCTCTCAACAAAAGCCACAGCAGAGCAACCACATTTCCATATAGGACAGAGGTTTTCCTGATGGGAGACATCAGTCATTGGCTGAGCCATGGGCTGTGTCTGGATGTGGATGGAAAACAGCAGCCTCACAAAAAAAGTACCATGTAAAAAACATGCCAGTAACAGAAATCATAATGAGCCCTTTTCCCCTCTGCATCTGCACTCCTTTCTTTGTAAAAGTATTTTTCAGAGCCTGAGCAGTGGTTAAAGCAATAGCTTTGACAGTCTGGCATAGTTCTTAATTTCTCCCAAGATTTAAGCTGGAGACCATCCCCATCCTGCATTCATTAGGTACTACTGTGTATGGCAGCTTTGGCTGAAAAAAGGAGGAAAAAGTTTTTCCAATGAACCACATTCAGATGGCATTTGACTTTTGTGGGACTGGCCAGTCACAAATCGGAGGGGAGTTTTGACTGGGAGTGTGGATGCCCAGTGCACACAGTGACTTGTGAGCAGTGGTTGTCTAAGTGTGAAAGGCCTGAGCACCTTTTGAGGAAGGTTTTCTTTTCTGAAGCCTTTGTGCCTTGAGAAATGGTTTTCCTCTTGGTAACAGAAGTCTACCATTTTCAAGAAACTGGAAACAAGGGAGAAACAGTGTTTTTCCCTTCCTGTCTTTTAAGAGGAAGTTGCAGTTTTGGCTGATGCCTGAGCTGCTCACGTTACTGATAAAGGAGTTGGGTTAATCTGCAAACCTGCAAAGTGTTTGAGAGGAAAGGCAATGGACTCATTTTGGAGTCCTAGTAAGCCTCTAGGTCAGGCAGCTGTTTCAAATCAGAACATTCTATTGATTTCTTTTTAATACCTTCAGCTAACCAAACTCTCAACCTTTCTCAATAGCGTTTCAAACCTTAAAAGGATCAGAAACACAAGCAGATGAATTCTGTGTGTCATGACTGAAGACTACAAAAGCTTACAAAGTGATTTTCAAACATGACTAAAATTCTGATAGTTCAGGAGGTAAGTTACCCTGAACTGCATTAAACTCCTTACCCACCAGGACTGGTTAAAGTCACAGGTGGAGATCATTAGAAAATGAGAAACAGGCATTAATTTTTAAAATGTTGCTTCATCCCCAACATCTTTGTGATCAATATTTGAGCACTTCTACTTTTAACTAAGCGGGCAGTAATTTGAGAGGCATGCAGAAAATCGCTTAGCTTCACTAAAGTGAGCAAATTCAGCTCACTTTTGCTGCTGTGTAATGCCTTTTCATGTCTGTTTAGACCACTGTAACTGAGAAGAAATTTGACCCATCTCGCTGTTCCCAGTCATTGATTCTATTAAATTAAGCCATACTTTAGAATTACTACTGGAAACCATCACCCATTAAACATGATTTTTAGAACAAAATATTATCACTTTTTTTACAGTGATGGAGGAAAAAGGTGTATAGATGGCCCCCTACTCTGTCTCTAGTTCTTTGCCCCATTCACAAAACCAGAAAGCAAGGCTTCGCTAAAAAACTGTCTGAACAAGGATTGAGTATCTGTTTATTTTCAAACGCTCTATCCCAGCCTGACTCAGTCTGGAATTTGGCAAAGGTAAGGCCTACTTAGCCTTCAATATTGGGAATAATGTAAAATATGTAAAAGTGTCCAGCTACTTATCAGGAGTGGCACTGTTGCACTGAGATAGAAACTTTTTAAATAGATTATTGCCTTTTAAAGTGTGTTAGTCTGGATACTCCAAAATAAGCAGTGTTAGTTTGTAATTATTTCTAAAAAAATGTAAATGTTGAAAGTAGGAACAGAAATAAGCAATTAAGCAAACTTGTGTAATTTTATCACTTAACTTGTGAAGGGAACAAGACAGGAGTGTAAATGTGACTAAAAAATGAATGTAGTTGTAGCAAGAATCGAGTCTTCAATGCTTTCTTGCCTGGCATTGGCAGAACATCAGCCTTTGTGGTAGAAATGACTACAACAAACTGCTGGTGACAGACATTGTCCTTCATGTGCCCTGAGCTTTCTCCATCCTCCAGGTGTAGGCCTGTCTCCAACTATCCCTGCTTAGAAACCTTGCCAATTTTCAAGAGAACATTGTTCTCAAATCTAAAAGGACTCTAAAAAAAGTCTTCCATATTCCCCTTTCTTCTAATGGTCCCTCATCTCCCTCAACAATTTGGCTGCTTACTGTTCAGCTGCATCAACCTGGGACAAATCAGTTTCTTGTCACATGATCCAAAATCACTCCTGCATTCTCTCTTTTCTACTTAGACATCCATAGTGAAGTCTGTGAGTTTATTGAGCTGTCACCTTATCTGCCTTTCTGGCTTCTAGTGGACCCCTTTGTTGGATCTGCACTGGTGACCCATTCAATCCCATTGCTGCTCATTTCCTCATTCCTGCATCTCTGAGCATGGATCAATGCCCCTGCTCCCTAGAGATGCCAGTGTCAGGACTTGGCCTTCACTGAGCAGTGTTCCCTCCCTTGCTTCTGCACTCTCAGGTCTCTGTGGTGTTAGAACTCTGCTGTATTCATCACTTCCTCTTGATTAGGGCTATGGATCATCCACTGCTTAATCCCATTGCTCATCCTTCGTCTTCCAAATATATTTCTTCCAGTTATAGTTACAGACATTATTTCTTCCAGTCCCAAGACCATTGATCCTGTGTTATATCCTTTATTTTATACCTTGAACTTCTCTTAGCCCATTGCTGTGTCTGCTGTGCTCTTTTACACAGAATCTGTGTGGGCAGGCAGTTTGTGTCCAACTGCAGCTCATCTTTGCAACTGCATCCCTTCCTATTCTCACCTTGCGGCTTACCAGGAAATTTTTACTCTTTGGAGTCCCAATCCTAGCTCATGGCCTAGCCACCCACCTCCTCCTTCACAGGCTTCATAGGAACAGCTGTCCTCAACCTGTTAGTGAGCACTTGGCTACAAAACCCTTCATCTTCAGAAGATGCTTCATCTTCATCTTCTTAGTCTGTCAGACTCACACCTTCAGCCATGTATTATTATGGGAAGAAGGAGTCTAGTTCTGATTTATGCAAACTTGTGTCACTTGTGTTTGGCCAGAACATCACTCAAATGTCTCAGCCCTTACCGCTGCACACTCTACATCACAGATGAGCCACATTTTTAAGGCTTGCTGTTTACAAGCTGTCACTTCTCGCTGTCTATCAAAGAGCTGCCTCCTGACTCTAATGATGACAGCCTGCAAGACCTTCTTCTTGTTAGATTTCCAAATAAACCAGTCTTCCTCAAATGCATGCCATGTATGCCAGGCTGCTCCTACTCACTTTTGGGACCTGTTACACATGGACCTCCTGTTTTCTGTGCAGCAACATAGAGGAAAAAAAGAAAGGCACAAACTTTTTTTCTAGTTTTGTGTCAGTTTCTAGAAAATGAAGCCTGTAAACTTAAAAATCAAACATTTGCAAGTGGAGGATTGAGTCCTGCCACAGACCAAATCAAAATTCGGAGCAGAAACTTGGAAGGATAGATGTTAGTGCAGGAAAGTTTTCTGACTTTTCCTTGACAGAAAAAAAACTCTGCTGTGAGCACTGAAATGTCTCTATCAAGGAGTATTTTCTGAGTGCTTGAAGCATCATAAGATGCATGAGGCAGCATGTGACACCTCTGCCCTCTATGGGTCTGGAGTGGCACATTTTGTGTGTGCAACAAGACCTGAACAGTACAACTCTACTACAGCCTGAACTCTACAACTATTATGTAACAAAGGAAAACTCTCCCTCAAGCCAGTGTAAACATCAGGTTCTCAATTAGGTCTTTGGCCCTGGGGATGCAGATGTCTGCGTGATTATGAGTCTCTCAAAAACAAGAGACGTGGTCTCTACAGGGATCCGAAAAACACTCTTCAGGCTTATCTAAATTCACATTTAAAAAAATAAGATCTTGGCAAGTAATTTTGGGACTAGGTAGGTGGCTGGCATAGCCCCAAAAAAGTGTGAGGTACTGTGAATAGCATAGAGCAGTTCTGCAGCCCAGTGTTGTCTTGTTTACTCATTGGTGCTGAAGTGTCTAAATCCCAACAAATTCATACTTTTGCATAAGGGTGACAGATGGTGTATACATCTATATGGTAATGAATCCTAGCTTATTTCCTATCACAGGAATATACCAGTTCCCAAGGGGAAGATGGCCACAGAGCCATTCCCTCTACTACAGTTGTGTTTCTCTACCTTTCATCCCACTACCAAAGTCAAACAACCTGATTTAGCAGCGCTGTGATCTCTGCACACACTGTGTCATTGTAGGCAGACACTTAAGGCACAACTGTTAGAGCAGCATCAGATGATGACATTAAAGAACTGCACCACAGAGAGAAGAGGCGGAAATACACCTTTTGCTGACTGGCAAAGACTTTCAAAGGTGATTAGTAATTAACAGCTTAGTGAGAAATTCACCTTGTTTATTCCAGTCATGACCCCAGAAGTAGTGTGCTATAAAGATCCAGTGTCTTCATCTCTTGGGTGCTGTACCTGTATCTTTTTTCTTGACAAGCTGCAAACAACTGTTATAATTTTGGTAAGTCAATAACTCAAGTCTCAGTACTTGTCCGAGGTTGTCCAGTTTCAGCTCCTGCAGTATCTTCCCACTGCAAATAGGGGCCTTTGCTTCTTGCATCAACATTAGCTGCATACAAGGCCATATTTAAATGTAATACAAAAGAGTAGAGAGAAGGGTCTGTTTGGGTAAGGCTGAGGAAGTACTGTATTCCTTTAAAATTTAAAGCCTCTGCTGGTATAATCAAAATGCACTGAGTGTCAGGCTCCAGGAGGCAAAGTCAGAACAGGCAGTGATGGATCACGCTTACAGTATCACTTCGGTTCATCTTTTTCCAGTTCAGATGCTGCGGAGTCTCCAACTACACAGACTGGTTCGAGGTGTACAACACAACCCGGGTGCCAGACTCCTGCTGCTTAGAATTCAGTGAGAACTGTGGGCTCCATTCCCCAGGGACCTGGTGGAAAGCGGTGAGTAGCTCTGCAGCACACAGCAGCAGCTGCCTTGCAGCCCAGCTGAAGGGCGGGCAGTAGTCATTTGCAGGGGGGCACCTCATCCTATCCTAATTCACCTTTCATCAGGTGCTTTCAGAAGGCTCCTGTTGAGCTGTGGCCTTTGACCTCCAATGAAACCCTCTATTTAGTTATTTTTATGAGGTGGTTTCCTTTCAGTAGGCTCCAAGCTGTTGTTTCACACTGCAGACAGGTCCATTCCAACACTGATCTGCAGCACAGACTAGTGACATCAACCTAGGAAATGGCAGGAATGTCCTTTTTAGTGTCCCACCAACTGGGGTCAGGTAGCAATAAAGGCAATGGTTCATGCACACACAGGAGCAGCAGCTGTAGCTTATCACAGCCCAGGCAGTCCTGAGGAGGAGAGGACTGAGGAGAGCCTTGAGCACTCTTCTCCCACCAAGAGCTCTCGTTCAGGGGCCTCCACTGCACAGAAGAGTGGGAACTGTTCCACTGAGTTGCCAGCAGCATTTTTTTTTTTTTTGCATTGAGTTTCTGCACTTGCCTGTAATCAAATTCAAAACTCCATGGGATAATTTCCCTACAATGGCCTCAGCAAGATCTTTCTGGAACAGATAGAGCCTAAATATGTCTCTGAAATTAGCTCAGCAATTCTTTGTGCTAATTACAGGTAGTACAATTACACAGGAGGGGTGTGGAGCAAGGCCACCTGATGAAGTGGAATTATAACTAAGTTTTGCTGGTTCTAATGGTTTGTGAAGACAATGAGTAAAGCTCTCTTGGCTACTTTCTAGTGAGATTTTATATGCATGGATTGGTACTCACAGAGGCTGAGTTCACATCAAGCACAGCTTTCTTATACTTCTTGAGTAGCTCCAGGTAATTTTTTTAATTTAAGGACTGAAAAGTTATTCTATTTTATTCAGGGTAGCAAGAAAATCAGTGCAGGTTAACCCTCTGGCTTCTGATGGCCATTAAGAGTTCTTCCTTTATACTTACGTAAAACTGTAACTAAAGGGGTATAATTTTACATATGTAAGACCCTAACTGAAGGCTGAATGATTCTTCACCATGAACATTTCAAGACGGGGGGGGGGGGGGCCTGTTTTTGCCCCCGGTTGTTTTACAAACATTATTTTTTAAAGGGGGTCCTGTTTTTGCACACGGTTGTCTTACAGACATTATTATTTAAAGAAAGGTTTCACTTGGGCCAATTCCACCCTTCCCAAAACTGGACCAGTAAAACAGGGCTACAGCTACTGCAGAATTTAAAGCATGAATAAAATAATGGAGGAGTGCCCGTACTGCAGTTTGACATGGTTGAAATTGGTATGAAATGGGCCCGTGTGCAGCAGGGGCAGCTACTGAGCCACTCACACTGGGACTGTTGGGTTTCATGTGTCTGTATGTATTATAAGAAATGTTTATTTTTCCTGAAATGTGGAGAAAATGGAAGCCTCATTGTAAGGTTCTAACTGCTTCTGGTTGGGTTTTAGAGGGCAAAGAGGACCCAAACCCAGTGCTTGTTTATTTGCAGTAGTTTAACCCAGCTGGCTACTAAACCCCACACAGCTGCCTGCTTACTTTCCCATCAGTAGGATCAAGGGGAGAAACAGAAAAGTAAAAGTGAGAAAAGAGTGGGTTGAGATGAAGACAGTTCCATAGGGAAACCAAAAACCCCTGCTCAATGATAGCAAAAATACCTCCAGATTATCAACCCTGTGTTCAGGACAAATCCAAAAGACAGCCCCATACCAATCACTGTGAAGAAAATTAACTCTACCCCAGCCAAAACCAGCACACTATTTTTAGTTACTGGCTAAATTTATATGGAGCAGTGCTCATGCACATTTTGGAGGTGCACTTATTTGTGTCACTGGGATTAATACTCCATGTTCAAGCTTCAGCCCAAAAATACATGTAGTTGCTCCAGCACTGAAATGATAATCCAGGCTACCTAGCAGCTAGGTCAGATCCATTTTTTCTCTGGCTGTATATTCCTGGGAGAGTAGAGCTGTATTTATGGCCAATACAAATTCTTGGTTTGTTTTTCTTTTTAGCCTTGCTATGAAACTGTGAAAGTATGGCTCCAGGAAAACTTACTGGCAGTGGGAATCTTTGGATTGTGCACAGCTATGGTGCAGGTACAGTTTAATATCAATTTTCAAATTCTAACTAATTGTAACTAACTAAGTAACCACAGATTCAGATATATACTCTGCCCAAGCAGGTTTTAAATCTTTCAGAATTTTTGTCTACCCTCATGCAAAATTATGAAGTACTTTGAGTTTTACTTTAGTTAAAATATTGTGTACAAGGCACAGAACTAGGAATACTGCACAGTGTTTTATGATGCACTGGCACTATATCAAGAGGTTTATGTAAGACTGAAAGTGTACTTGGGAGGGGAGACTGGACTCCAGACAACTAATCAGGGGAGGATGAACTACCTTTAGAGTGCCTGTATTTGTCCAGTTATTCTCCAGAGAGGACTTGGGCCAAATAGCCAACTTCAGCATAATCTAGAGATAGCTTAGATCTTCAACCTCATCCCTCAGGCCCAGGGTAAGTTACAAATCAGGATGAGGTGCCCAGTAGTCAACCCTGCCAATAAACCTGTGCTCCCTTACTATGATTGGCATAGACATGCCCATCAGATTTTTGAGTTGCAGTCCTTTCCACTGTGACCTTAGTCAGAGGAGAATCTGTTGTCCACCACTTTGTCTCTTACAAAGTGCCTGTGCCTTTAACCCAGCCTGCTGTGGTTATGCCAGTCCAAGCACCAGTGGCACAGCCTGAGGATACACAGGTGAAGGTTGTGCTGGAGCTCAGGCTGGTTCAAAGTCCCTTTCCTAAATTCAGTGAAGATCTAGCTTTAGTTTCCAGCTCCCCCTCTCTCACACTCAACATGCAAGCACAAAGGATGGCATTGCTAAGCTAATTAACACCGTGTAACTGCAGATTAACTCATGGTTGTTTGGTTGTTTTTTTGGGTTTTTTCGTGTTTTTTTTAATTTGTCTGGTATGCGACTAGCAGCAGCAGGAGAGAGCCTGGGATCAGTATTCCACTCACATTACCAATAATGACAGATTAAGCAGAATGGCACATATCTTACTCTCTCATATGTCATTTATTGGCTGCAACTTACTTATTAATGCAAATGCCTGACACCTCACAGGCCCAAATTCAGTAGAGTTTTGGGGTTTGTTCCAGTATAATAAGTAGATATGCTTAGAGAAAAAAGCACAAGATCATATGGCAGACAGGCAATGTATGACTTGTCAATATATTACCATGATAAAAAAACCAAACCAGCTTTTGAGCATCCGTTCAGAATTTAGGGTATCTTTAAAAGACACACTGAAAACCTCCAGCAGCCCATGGTCAGAGTCCTTCTCATAAATATCCTAAATATATTAAATTTCTAAGGCAATACTATCTTTCTGACAGAAAGACATCGTTAGTTTGCATGGGAGGAAGCACTTCAGACAATTTAAAAATGCAAATTCATATTCCTAGTAAATGCTTTTCAATGCAGGGAAAACACATCAGAACACCACAGATTTTTAGTCTGCCTTCCAGCTGCCTGGTATGATTGAATCTACCTGATGACAGAAGTTTCTGTGTACTGTCACCTAAAATGAACTCGGCCCCCTCTCTTGCTGCTGTTCCAGTTGTGTTCTGGCCCATAGCATGTGGCAGTTTTTCATGTTAAGCATCTTAGAGAATCATTCAGTGACATAATTTGAAGGACTTAACAGCACATGCAACAGAAGGATCTTCCTCAGTCGTGCATGCTTCAAATTGTAAACCAAGTTCAGCCACCACTGTTTTGTTACATAGCTGTCCCCAAAGGTGGATATTTCCAAAAGGCTTGCTATAAACAGCACACCAAAACCTAATAATCTGATTTCACTGTAGAAGAGTGAGACTTGAGGAAGATGAACAACTTTATAACCATTTTTTCTTCATAAATATAGTTTGTGTGTATTCATATATTCTTTCAAAGTACTCATTTACAGGAACTATTACTCATGTAAAGACTAAATTTGAAGTGATCAAATTAAGTGCTTAACAGAATTCATACCCTAAATTTTCTACCTGGCAGACCTTCATTTCAGTGACAACTCTTACAGTGGTGTTGCAAAGGGAAAGTAACAAGCACTTAGTACATCCATATAGGTACTTCAGCTGGAAGGAAAATAAGACTGTCCCCCATCCTCTTTTGATGAAGTAATCCACCAGAGGCAGCACAACAGGTCAGTGCTTAGCTGGGAGAAGAACCCCCACCTCCCTGCTGCTTCTCTTGAATAGGCTGAGTAGAAAAACACATCCATTGTTGATGAGGCACTGATGGCCATGATTAATGCATGTTCAGTCTCCAGTGATTCCCCCACAGGGACCTGTGCACATGTACACTTGGAAAAGTAAAGTACAGTCAAGTAAACCACAGCATCCACAGATTGCCAGGGATTAACCCAATGTCTTTCAAAACAACAGCTACAGGGACACCCACAGAATGTCCACACAGCTGTGGATTGCTGCTGTAAAATATTTTCAAGCAAAAGCATCCAAATTTTTTTCAATATACTTCTTTCCAGTATCTGGTGGCTGCTTTTGATGGAGAAATCAACTCTCCTCTGCTCTTACTGTCCATTCTGTAAGACAGCAATACAGATAAGGACAAAAGGCAGACAGACTCTAGGAATGGAACAAGGACATGAAGAGGCAGGAAAAGCAGTATGTGACATGTCCTTCTGTGTGTGAACAAAACTAGTGCCATGCTTTTCTCTTTTTTTCTTGTTGTTTCAATAAATAGGGGTTTTTTACTTACTGAAAAACGATTGTTTGTTGTTTCTTTTCTCTTAGATTCTCGGACTCACCTTTGCAATGACCATGTATTGTCAGGTAGTCAAGGCAGACACCTACTGTGCATAGATACCATTCCCAATATTTCTGCTTCTCCTCCAAAGGACACAGGAGAAATCTCCTTCATGCTCATTCATCTGACCTTTTTTCCCTCCCCTTTGTACTATAAACTGTGTATAATGCTGTCTTTCTGAAGATTTTGTGAATCACCCCACTTTACTGAAGGAGGAAGAGAAGAAAAAGTCAGTAATTGAACTGGCACAGGTAAGAAGCAGCCTTGTCTTTAAGCAGAGGAAAACCAAAAAAGCAATGGTTCTTTTTCCATGGCCTGTGGCAAGGCAAGAGAGGCTGCTTACAAGGGGCTGACTGCAAACCCATGTTAGGAAAAGATGGCACTGAGGACACCTCTGCAAAAGCTGCCAGGCTGCCTTCCCACATTTCCAGTCTGGAAGAGAGGATGTAGAAAAAAAATGTTCTTCAGCAAGAAGGTACAGAGTAGCTAGGACTGAATGCAATTGTAATTTTACTACAATTTGCACACAGCTAAAATGTTAAGATCAAGCAGCCCTGCCTCCAAGTGTCTCAAGACGATTTTGTAGCCAGGAGAGGATCATCTTCAGAAGTGCATTGTTTTAAAGAAGTATTTTTAATCTTACGTGCCGCAGAGTCAGGCTTTTAATCAGAATCTGTACAGCGAGATCCTGGCTGTTAATGGAAAACAATATTGGACATTGCCTCACTTCCTAATTGCCAGTGGCATATAGATGGTTGACTGCATATGTTATATATATTACATTCATAAACACATACTTTTCTGAAAGGAGGTGAAAATACTCAGCATCTAACCTCAGAAAGAGGAAACCTTTCTATCCTATTTTACATTCCAACTGAAATAACCAAGTATTATTTCTTGTACAAGGCACTATCACTTATACCTCTGGGAAACAAGTAATTACTTTCAGCTGTATCTTCATTTCAGTAAACAACTTGTGAGTGGGCTCTCTCTGTCAGTCTACTATGGTTTTATTTATCATCCCTGTTTCAAGTAAGTCTGCCAAAAAATATCACTCATTTCCATGCTTGAAGATGTGTGCAAAGCTGTCAGCTGTTCCTTCCCTGAATGTCACCATTTCATTAATTTACTTTGGGATAACATCATCTGCAGGTATGATAAAGTTTGCCTTGCTGAGGAAAAATCTTTCACACATTGCTCATTTTTCTGAGAGTTATTAAGACTTCAGATGCTTTTATGCTTACCTTTTTTTTTCCTCCCAGCTGCACGCTGACAACAGCCAAGACACATCAGTCTCTGTTAGAACTGGAGTCACTTCTCAGTGCTCTTTTTCAGATGCATTTTCCTTCACCTAGCTACTGGCTAGAATATAATCCACACTTTCTAGAATATCATGGAATCACAGAAATATGTAGAAATCAAAACTGTAACTTTCCTTAACCAGGGAACAGCCATTCACCGATAACTGAAGTAATTGATGTAGTACCCTCCTAGGCATATCTTCTGGTGATGAGGTTAAAATCAGATGTGTCCTGTTGTTCAAACAAATAATTCCCTGCCAGCAAACAGCTCCAAGTGGTGCATGTGTGCCAGGGAGAAGCTGAAGCACCCCAGGGAAAAGACACAGCAGGGAACAGGCAAACAGAGCAATGCAGATGGTCTGCTCCCTCCAGCCAGCATTTGAGGAGCTCTCAGCCACTGTCATTTAGAGCAAAGAGCTGACCATGGAGCTGTGTTTTCCCAGGAAGCTGAGTGCAGCCATTCCTGCAGACTGCATCAAGCTCATAGAGGAAGTTACCTTGCTTACAATAGCAGGTCTCAGCTCAGAGTGACATTCTGCCTGCTTTGATTTCAGGGCAATTTCCAGCTGGACTTGCCAACCCACAGCCCATTGAACAATCTCCTTTACACCCATAACTAACCCTTTTCTGGACCTGCATTATTTGACAGATTCACTCTCACTCATTAGATTTGGGTTGTTTTTTTTTTTTTTTTTTTGTCTTCTGCCAATTTCTTGCAGTCTTCTAACTCTCAAGCAGAGCTACTCCATATTTTCTGGGAAATTGCTTAGGACAGTCTGGTGTTTAAAAGAGCAATTACCTTCCAAAATTTTACCCCCATGGGGCATTTAGCTGTGCAGGCTAAGATAAAAGTAATGTATTACTTGTGTGCATTTTATGTGGCTTCCCAATCACTATCACAGCAACCTCCCTACCACTAAAGGATTTTACTGTCATGCAAACAATCCCCAACATACCCAGGCTGGGCAAGTAGCCCATACACAGGTGCCCTGTACTCCAAAGCAAGAGGCTCACTTGTGTTGCAGTCACCACAGTCTCCCTGCTCTCTGCTTCTTGAGCCCAGGCTGACCTGCAGACTGTTCTGCTCTGCAAAAGATGGTGTAAGTTTGTTCCTTCCCTCTCTTCTACTCTGTGCTGTTCTTAACCTGCACAGATACAACTCCAGGTTAGTTGTACCATTAGTTCTTTCCTTGGTTTATAGTTTGTACACCAGAGTGCTTCTGCTGACAACTCTGAGTTTCTACCACTGAAAATCAGCATGACACAGTGATGAATACATTCATAAAACATTGATTTTTTTTCTGAGACAGATAAAAGGTAGACAAGTCTATTTGTAGTGATCCCTGCCATTAAAAATTAACACAGAGACAGCAGGCTGATGATGGTTCAGTTGATGGGTGCAAACCATTGTGCAGAACTCCCACAGAGAGCACTCTCATCAATTTGCTTGATGGTGGTGTAGGGAAAAGAGAGATCACAAATCCTTCTCCTGTTAGTCTCACAGTAATATGTGCTGAGCTCTTAGAGAATGATTCTAGATTTCAGGTAAAGCTTCAGTGGAAACAAAATATGAGGAACAGATTGGAGACAAGTCACATTTTGTGGTTTCCTCTAATAATTTTCTACAGTTTGGGTGTCTTTACAAGGTAAACTTACTTTGTTTTCAAAAATAAGTACCTAAAGGGAATATAAGCAACACTCGCTTTGTAAATCCCAGTCACTGCAACAAAAACAGTCAGGAAAAAACAAAACAAAACACCACAAACAAAAAACCCCCAAGCAGACGAACAACAACAAAAATCCATCCCAGATCACATATTGCTGCTAATAATTCTTTTTTAAATCCCCTTCTTCCACTACCAACTGAGATGCTACTGCAACTTGTTCATAATTTGAACTGGACTATTTTGTATATTTGATGTTATTAACACTCTCCACACAGACCAAACAGCTCTTACAGTGCTTACAGCATTTCCAGCACAATCCAATTTCATACCTCTGAACACACTGCATATAACAAGCCTCAGACTTACCATACTTTCTTAAGATCACTGCCTCCTTTCTCTGCTGACAAGGTCAGAAGATTTTGTGATGTGTAACAGCAACAATCTTTAAAAAAAACCCCAAAAGACAAAAAAAAAAAGAAAAAAGATAGTTCCATTTTACACATTAAACTGGTTGATTATATATAAAGTAACCTGTAGTACATAATATCCATTTGAAAGGCTGCTGATATTGAATGCAGGCAGAGCAACACAGAAGTCATTCCAATTGCTTCTATTAGTGTCTTGTCACTTTTAGTAAAGCCTTTTATATTATTGTGACTTCTTATCTTTAAACATGAAGGAGGACTCAATACATTTAAATTAAAGACAGAACCAAAGGCAATAAAGGAGCACTCCTAATTTATTCTCATGGCTGTTTCTGCTTAATAACAAGATATGAAGGTGCAGGGTATATGACTGAACTTACTGAATTCAGCAGCATCAGGATTTAGCTTTTTAGAGTCAGTTCAATATACTTTTGGCTTTTCATTTTCACAATTATTAAAAAAACCCAAAAACTTATATTTAATAAAATATGTCTTATTTTCCTGCACTGTCACTAGCAGCCAAATCTCATTACTTGTACAACAGAATTACTTAGCTCCTCATTATACAGTGTACAATCATTGAAATTCACTTCAGTTTCTGTTCTATGAACAGTTCTTTAGTCTCCCTGCTCAAATTAAACAAACTCATAAAGGTTTATTCTTTTATCAATAATTAGCATTTAAATGCAGCATTGTAGGATTTATCATATGGAAAAGAAAGGACTGCACAGAAGCTGTAAAAATCCTCTGTCTTGCATCATCAATAGGGCTGCTAAGGGAATCCACACAAACCCTCACTTCTCACAAACTGATGAGAACACAGTGAGTTCACGTGACTGGGCTGCCTCTTACACCTTCCCAGGGTAGGACAGGGGGTTGTCAGCACCGACAAAGTCACAGCCTTTCATTTACCCCTTGACTTCGGTGTTGTACTATAAATGTGGCACCAAAGGTAAGCAACAGAAACCAGCAGTTGATTGTGGCATTTATTTTAAACCCAGACTCTTTATTTACTCTAATTTATCTGCAAGAATTTGCTAAGTGTAAATGATCTGCATAGCTACTGAGTTAGACAGGTAGAAAACATGTTGGGACTTGCTGTGGGAAATCCTGTTTGGATTCCATTGTGAATTCTCCTCCCTTGTCACTGGTATCTCACCACAGTGGGCAGTCTCCTCTGTTCTTTGGATTTTGTTGCTGCAATTACAATGGTACATTTTTGTGCATTCATATAAAGAACGAAATTTAAAATATACCTTTTATTTTTAAAAAGTTATTAAATATTCTCTAAAGTTTACAACAGAATGTCTTTTGTATTCTTTATAAGCAACTGCACTACGAGCTGAACAGTGATTCTGTACAGACCCAGAGATGTGTGTGTGTGCAAGTGTGGGCAAGTACACACACATATACTGTATGCAATTTAACAAAACCCTACAGTGTTCTACTTCTTTGTAATTTCTCATTACCTTTGATTTCACCTATTCTTCCTTACAAATTTGTTTTTATTATTATTATTTATGTGGCTTACCTATTCCCAGGTAAATGTACACCTCTCTTTCCTTTTAAGGACAGGCAACCTGAAATTATGTGGAAATCAATTCAGAAACTACTGGGAGATCTGGTTTAGTGTTAAAAAATATTCAGACCGAAACCAAATTATTTTGTGTTCACAACTTGTCTGTTACTGATAACTTTGAAATAAAAGGACTTCTCTTTTTCTGAAGTAGTTGCTTACATTCAGAAATTACATAGTAAAACTTGAAAAAATTAACACCAGAATGTTTTTCAATTGAACAACTTGGAACTTTTATTGTGTCAAATCAGAAGAATGTCTGGTTAGTCAGGTATGTTATCTGTAGTCACGCCTAACACTGCTTTTTTTTATACAATTTGTTGTATCCTACAGGTCAAATATCTTTGCAAGTGAAATTGCCTCTAAACTCTGCATTCTGAACAACAACACAAGTGTGCTGTTGAAATTGTAATGGGAGAAGTAGAGACCCAGAGGTTTTAGAGGTTATTGCAGGAAGCATCATAAGAGATCACCCACATATTTGATGGAAGTTTCTTACAGCTCCCTCACTTTAGGAGAGATGTTTATATTACTTGAATTGTCTCGATCCCCTTAAGTGCACCACTAGATGGTCTCATCAGCCACATCTATTTTTAATCCCTTTCTTACTTTGTGAAACTTTACACTTTAGTCCTGCAGTATAGCAGTGAATTTCAGAATTTCTTCATGTTGCATTTAAAAGAATCCTTCTTACATGGATTTTAACATTGTTGCCTTTCAATTTCATCTACTCACCATAGGTTCTATAATAGGTTATATTCAGGAACGATAACTTAATGATGCTTACAGATATACATGGGCTCAGAGCAGCAGTATTACCTTTACAGCTTAATTTGCCTTTCCAGTAGAGCTTAACCCTGAGTAATTGAGTACCCTATTGATTTTTAAGATCCCATTGTTTCAAACAACTAAGCCCAGTGTACCTTCCCCTAGTAGCTATCCCATTTGTCTTTGCTTTTGTACTACATGTTGGCATAGACAGAGCTGTTCCTACTTCAATCAACAACTAGATCAACAGATCAACAACTAGACACAATCTGCCATTTTTCCAAAGTACACATATCACAGCCTGGAAATATCAGGGCAAGCTGATTATTCTGGCTGCGTAAAACAAAGAACTTTCTGTCTGAATGGTGATAATTTTCAAAGAAATTTAAGGGCAGCTTATGAAGCTTCATCCAAAGTTTTGTCTTGACACACTAAAAGTGCAAAACACAGAGCCCTATGTTTCTTACCTTACCATGCTGAAAACCCGAAGCAAATAAGAAATCTACCATTAATAACTCATCTGGCAAATGCCATTTGAAAGACTGTTTTTCTGAAAGCCCATTAGTTGCCTAAGGTAGGTCACTTTACCCTAGGCCTTGCTTCATTGTTTCCCCCTGCAATAAACTTTCCCCATGGAAATACTGTCTGTTCACTAGAAATCCTGGGATTTGTTGACCTGCAAGAAGAGCTCAGTTTACGTTCCTCCCTCCAAGAGCCAGAAAACATTCACTACCAAATCTACAGTGTGTGTTAGACTGCTAAACAGAAGTTCTGTGTCTTAGGATGAGGGTTTTTAATGAAGAAATAGTTGATCAGCTGAACTGATTTCTCAAACAAGTCCCTGGTATCTTTTATGCAGAAATCATTTAGGCAGAGCAGAATATTTTGTTACTACAGAATTGCTTAACAGAGACTTTCCTGTACTTACAATTAAAGAATAATTTGAAAGGATGGGATAATTATCCACTATAAATTTCCCCTTATATTCCCATGTTATTTCAGTGTATAGTTCAAATCACAGGCAACAAAATAAAATATGGAACTGTATATAATTAAATACATAGAAAACAAAAATCTATAGAAAGGAAAGTACAGCATAAAACTCCCAACTGTTAATGTATATTGCCTGTGTCTATGTCTCATATGGACTGTGACAAAAGTTTCAGGTGTAAAGCATTCATCCTGAAGATTAACTAAAAATTACTGGAGAAATACAGGGATTTTGGAAACTGGTTTGTCAAAGTCTATTCAGATGCACCTCATCATCTCCTTCTTCCACAATTGCCCTTCTTTGGCCCTTAAGCTTAAGTCACTGCTCCAGCCCTTCCACCTCTACCATTTAAATCTGCTTTTCTGCATACAAAAATATGCCATCAGTCACAGTCCCAGCGTGTCAAATGTGGAGGGGATTCAGTTGTTTGACTGTATAAATTTTAGTGCCCAATGCTAAGACATGTTAGGTGGCTTTACGAAATTCAGGTTTGATACTGATTTAGGAGACCACAGTCTCTACAGAACAGAGCAGAATAAGTACTGTGACGGAGAAATTCATGCAGCCTGGTTCTGGACCTATGTAGTGACTGAATCTGAATTGTTCTTAATGTCCTCTGTTCCTTGATGCAAGCCTGCAAATAGCTAGACAAGCACAGTTATCAAGCAGAACTGTCACTGGCTTTTTAGCATGCTCCAGACAGACTAATGCTGCAGGGATTCTTTTTCCTTTTTTTTAACCCAGTTTACCTTGGAAGCTTCTTCAGGGTTACTGTATCAGCCACAGGTGCAATTAACGGATTCTGATATTATATCTCGGCTTGAATAATAAGCACCCCGGATACTGAGGTTAAAAAATGCCTCATCTTAGAAATGATAAATTTGTTTTTCTTTTGAAATGCTCACCTGCCCCCTCACACTCTTAAGGTGGCTGGGACAGCATATGCATCCCCACAGTTTGTACTGTGGCAGCCCAACTGTCCACGGTAACTTTTATTAAAAAAAAAAAAAAAAAGTAAAAGCGTGTTTGTGTAATTCTCAG